ATTAGGGTTATACATAGCTATTCACTTTTATTAAGTTGTTAAATGATAAAGCATGCCATTTATATTGTAAATGACAAATCTAAGAAGCTGAAATTTTCATTTCTTAAATTTGGTCTGAGTATCTCTATTTGTGTATTAGTGTATTTTGCAAGTAGCAAAGAACTTGAAGTTTGGAGCTGAAGGAACAGGTCCTACATCACTTACTAGTGACTCCTATTGAGGCTCTCAGTGGCTTTGGCTTCCTCATCTGCAAAGTAGACACATCAATTACTCTCTACTGTTGTGACGCTTAAATGATATCATGAATACTAAATATTCGCAAGCGTGATATATGATTTTTTTTAAAAAAAGGACTTTCTATAAGTATAAAAAAATTCCAAGTGATAAAAAGTTGTGTCATAGTTAAAATGGCATTTCTTTCTTAGTAGCACATAAACAATGGTATTTTATAAGATTGCATCTCAGCTTCAATGAAACTCCTTCCTGCTAAAAACATTAAATCAAGTTTCAAAACTATTCTCTTGTTCTTTTAGTGTCTTCCATTAAAGTTTGATTTAAATAATTGAATCAATAAAAGTACAAGAATCAAGCCTAAGAACCAAGCCTTTGATATATAGTCATGACAAAAACAAGACACACGCCACTTGATAGACATGGAATATTAATCTAAAGCTGTGCTGTGACTGACTGAGCTTTGATTTCATTAGGTTTTCCAGTTATATTAGTTTGGTAACTGATTCAGTATAGAGCATGATTTCTGGCCCACACTATTCAGTATTTAATACAGAGTGCTAACTATATGCCAAGTACTGAATTAGGCACTAGGGATAGCATGGAGAATAAACGCAGAAATGACCCCTGCTTTCTTGGTGTTTAGTGTCTAGTGAGGAAGACTGACAAGTTATAAATTGTTATAAATACTGTCAAGAAACAACTGGGAAATGGAAATAAAAATGAACAGTAGGGGTATTAAACTTCAGATAATAACAATAACAGTGAACACTTATATAGTGTTACTATGTGCCAGGCTCTGTAGTACATGCTTTATATACTCTAATCTTCAAAACTACTTTTTAAAATAGATACTACAATTTTCAAAACGAGGCTTTGAAAGTTTAACTAATTTGCCCAGGGTCACACAGCAAATAAGCAGGGAGTTGGGATGTAAACCCATCAGTATGGCTCCAGAGTCCTTGTTCTCATCCACTACAATATTAGGGAGAACCTTTCTGAGAAAGTGTCACCTGAATGATGAAAAGGGGTTGGTGAGAGAAATCATGTATAAAGCCGTACAGTGGGAAAGGGGTTTCCTTCAGTTGTAGGAAACGAAAGTAGGCCATCATCATTGGAATATAGTTAATGAGAGCAAGAATGTTGGGGATATAGGGCTGGAGAAGGCCAGTGCCACCTCATTAAATCCTACAGGCCACAGGAGCTGGAGTTTTATTCAAAGTGCAATTGGAACAACAGAAGGCTGAGCCGGACAGTGACATGATCTGATTTATATTTTTAAATATCTTTCTGGCTGATGTGTAAAGAATGAGTTAAAAGAAGGTAAGAGAAACAGAGTCCAAGTCATTTATTTAACACATATTAGAAAGTTTACGAGTAACTATTATTGTGGCAAGCACTATTCCAGACACTAGGCACACAGACGAAAACAATACAGACAAGGTCCTCTACTCTGGAGTACACTTTAAAATGGTGAACACACACACACACACACACACACACACACACACACACACACACACACACACACACACACACACACACACCCCTACCCCCTTGCAACATCGACAATTTCTCCCACTCTACTGGACATTTCCTATCAGTGTACCAAGTATCTCACATCTTTAAATAAACATCAAACAAGCAAAAATCTATCCTCTGACCTTTTATTCCCCTCACTATCATCCCATTTTTCTACTCCCTAATCCAGAAATTTTTTTTAAAGAACAGTCTATATTAACTTCACCTCCAGTTATCTCAACACACTACAATCAAGTTCCTCTCTTTCACCCTACTAAACTGCTCATGTCAATGTTACCACACTACTGTCTTGCAGTCAAATACTAATTTCTCTCTTCTCATCTTATTTATTTCTCAGAAGTACTCACATTGTTAAATAGCTTCCTCTTCTTTTCCGTGCCATAACACTCTTCAGATTTCCTACCTTGCTGGCCTGGCCTTCTCAGTCTCATTAGGAGGCCATATAGCACCATGATTAAGGACATGGACTTCTAGACTTAGCTCTGAAAACAGATTGGTGCAGGAGTGCTTAGGGCATGGAGGAAGAGAATGTTTCCCTTTCTTGTGCAGGATAGAGAACTAATCAGTATTTCAGGTGAGAAATGATGGTGGTTCAGACTAGGGTGGAGATGGGGAGAAATACGTGAATTTTATCTTTAATTTAGAAGTAGAACAAAAGGAACTTTGCAGTCATCCGATATAGGAATTGAGGTTAAAGGGGAATCAAGTTTTTTTCCTTGAGTAACCAGTAGAATTATGGAAGTGTTGTAAAGGAAGTTTTGCAATGGAATAAAGTTCAAGTACCAAATAAAAAAACTAGTGAACATTACTGAATCGAGATGATCTCATTTGAGGGCTTTCCACAAAATTTACACCTGGAAGAGGTTATGTGACTTACTCGAAGTCACACAGATAATTCAGTGGTAGAACTGAAAATAGAACTTAAGTCTCGCAGAATCCTGCTAAGAAGCCACAGATCAAGATCTGGTATGATGACTACTCACAAACTTGCTGAGCCTCTATCACTTTAGTTCTTTCTTCCAACTAACAAATGCAATAAAATATATTGTAATACACTTTTGGGGTTTATTAAATATAGTTAAGGAAGGTTATTAACGTCACACTTTATATTTCCTTAAGAAAAAAGTGAGGAAAGTAAAGGTAGACAGAATAGAAATATTGGGTTGTCGGAAAAATCATGATGCATTTTTGCAATGAAAAACAGAAAAAATACGTCATGACTTTTCCAACAACCCAATATCAGTGTTAGCTTGTGAAGAGTAAAAGCTGTTGCAAAAGTTCATCAAAAACATTTCCTGATGTAAACTATTTGTAAAAGGTATAGTAGTTTACAATCTAATTTGCAAGATAACACACATATAAATAATTCAGGTTAATAGGAGAGGTGTCATAAGGCAATACAAAAAATTGCCAAATGAATTACATAGACCATATATATTTAATGTACTTTGGGGTAGTCCTTAGGAAAAGGTAAGGTTTGAACTAAGCCTTGAAGGACAAGTAAGAATTTAAAAAGTAGATAGGGAAAGGGATTAAACAAACCTGTAGTGTCCAAGAGCATAGTAGGCTGGGACTGGGGAGTAGGGAGTGGGAAGAGTGAACTTTTAAGATTTTTTAGGCACAGAGATTCTCTTTGATTTGCAATTTGAACTGAGACCTGAATGATACAGAGGAACAAGGAACATGACGATGGGAGGAAAGAATATTCCAGGCAGAAAGAACAACTACAAACAACCATTACCTGCCTGTACATTAGGCTCTACAGATTGAATACACAGAGCTTACTTAGTTCAGTGGTCAAAGAATGGACTGTGAATTTCTAAGCTTGAATTTAAATAATTCCAAATTCTCTCTGATCGCAGTTTCTCCATCAGCAATACTAATTACTGCAGTTAGAAGAACATGTGAGATACAAAGTGTTTTAGAAACAGAAAATATACAAGAATTCTAAAAATCAGTTCAAAAAGGCAAGAATGTAAAAGTTATGCTTAGATACATAGCTAAAAGTGGAGTTTCGTTCATTGCTGATATAAGTATTAGTAGATACCTTATACTTTATATAATCTTTACATTTTCGGTTATTGTAACTTTTTTGTATGTTTTATATGCCTTGCCAGATTGTAAACTCTCTGCAGGTAGTAAGCAGATCTTAAAAATGGCACCTGACAGGCTTTTATAGTATTATCTAAATTGATTTTAGTTTAGTTTAGAAGCCAGTAATTCATTTTGCAGCCCTTTGAAGATTTGTATATGTGTATGTTCAAAATCCTTTTACCTACAAAGGATTGGAGGGGGCTCATGATATTAGGAAAAGCTAATGGAAACAAATATAGATACAAACAGAATAGAATCCATCTTTAATAGAATGGAAGTAATCCGCATTTAACAGTTAATTACTACTTGCTGGCCTTTAATTGACATTCCTAGGCAGTCAAAGGAAGAAGGGAATCTGAATTCCAGTGTATCATTTAATCTACCACAAAGTTAGGCATTTACATTCATCTGCAGAGATCAACTTTTCCCTAGACGAAAACAAGGAACGGACTTTGATCACGAGGGCTTTCATATATGTCACCAACAGTCTACATGGAACAGCTGTGGAAACAGACATCAATATGTACCTTCATCAAGTCTAAGAAAATAAGCATAGGCACAGAGTAACGGAAGGGCTGCTTAAGTTATTTAACTTGGTTCTGCTGCTTTTAGAGCAAGGACCTCTGATATGGTGGAACCACTCTTGCCTCAACAACAGAATCCTGTTTTCTCCCTAGGGCTCTGGTCCAGGCTTGGTAATGGCAAAACAACAACTGGGTTACTAGATGGCCATAACAAAGGGTCAGCATTAGTCCAGCGGCTCGCTGGCAGCCTTGGATTCAGGTGGGGCCGGCGCCCCAAAGTGGGAACAGTGTCTGGGCCCTAGCCTTCGACGGCGGGTTTCAGGATGGGCGACTGCTAGAGGTAGGAAGTGTCCTAGGTGAGCAGGGTGCTTCAACCGACGGGTCTGAGGGTTAAGGGGAGGAAGGCAACTCAGGGCCGCCGCGAAGCTCAACTCCAGGGACACCATGCAGCCCCTCCCAAAACCTCTCCCGTCCCAGAATATGAAGGAGCGGCAGAGGCAGCTGAAGCCAAGGGAATCCTCTCTTCAGTGGATCATAGCGGCCGATCCTAGTCCCCAGGAATAAGGCGCTATTATCCCACTTTTCCCAAGGACCCCAGAGATCACCCACCTGCAACTGCAGTATCCGAAGTCTCCACCCCAGTCTCCCTTCAGAAGACTGATTGCGATTGGCTAGTACCGCTGTCCGGTTAGCACTTCTCCATGTGTGAGTGGCGTAATTAGGCTCTCGGCCTTGGTCCCACCCTTCGCTCGGCGCCGAGGCCCCGCCCCATGTGACGTCACACGATGCCGCAGAGCGCAGAGGCGGGTCATCGTCTCAGACCTCAGCTGTCTTTTCCGAGAGGAGGAGGCGGCGGTGTTGGGGGCGGGACGTGAGGGCTCTCGGTGGGCCACGTGCTCGTAGTCATAGCGCTACGCCCCGCCCCTTCCGCACAGGCGCCGGGAAGAAGGGGGTGGGGCACGTGAGTGTCCGCGCCATCAGGCCCGAGGTGGCGGCTAGGTTCGTTTTCAGTGTATGGTTTTCCTCGCTAAGCGCTTCTGCTTGGTACCAGCAATGGAGGGCGTGCGCTGGGCCTTTTCCTGCGGCACTTGGCTGCCGAGCCGAGCCGAATGGCTGCTGGCGGTGCGATCGATCCAACCCGAGGAGAAGGAGCGCATTGGCCAGTTCGTCTTTGCCCGGGACGCTAAGGCAGCCATGGTACTACTACTACAGGTCTTTGGTATTTTGAACCGAGAAAGCAGATGTTGGGGGAGGTGGGCCAGACTGTGCAGACCCCCCTCCCCGCCCCCATTCTAGCGTCGACTCCGGCGGTCTAGCTCACTTGTGGTCCGCCCGGAGCGAGAGTGGTGGGCGCTGCCGAATTTGTGCTCACGGCCTGGTCCCGGCGGCCTTTGTGGTCGCTTCGGAGGCCTCGATCGCTGTAAAAAGTAGCCCTTCCCCCGTTGTAATTGAAAGTAGAAACTCTGTTAAACCATAAAATAGGTGTAGGGAAGGCCTAAGTAATTGCTTTTTTCCCATAATGAATGTTTTTACATTTTTATTTATCAATTTTTATTTTTTCTTTGCGTGGGCCCATAACACATGCTTAGTCTGCCAATTAAATATCTCACCACTCTCCAAGGGCACCCCGCACGTGGCAGGCCCCCCAAAATACTGACGGTATGACTTCGTTTATCCTTGCATATCATGGAACTGGAAGAGACCTAGACCAGCTTCCTATTACCGGTGAAATTGAAGCCCGGGGAGGATGCAATTCCAGGCACACTTTCCTGACTAGATAACTTGAGAAATAATATTTTAAATAGAAATAACGTCTTTTAAGTATGAATTTTTAAGTAAAATGGAAAAGTGGATTTCAAGATTACTTCTACATAGTGCAATTTGAAACACCTGTAATTACCATCACTTCAAAGACAGTCATTTCTTGAATTTACCTCTATATTGAAACACCTTTTCATCTGAAATATGAGCTAACTGATAAGTTTTGAAGGCATATTGGCGAATATTTTTTATAAATTGCAATAAATTAGTTTTTATATTTTTTTTATAAATTGTAAGAAATTGTGGAATTCAAAGTGTTGCAGTTTCTAAAGCTGTTAGAGTTGAAGGGAAAAAAAAACTTGAAAGGTATTTTGCAAAAATAGTGTATACTTTGTCATCTTATACCCTTGGGTATTTTTGTGTGATTTTAGTAATTTCTTTCTTACTAGGAAGTGGGAGTGGATGGGGTATATGTGAAAAAAGATAGGTCATTCATAGCTAATTGTTGAAACTGAATGATGGGTACAGAGGACCTAGAAATACTTGCACATATGCACAAAGATGTAGGTACAACAGGGTTGCTACTGGAGAATTTTTTATAATAGCAAAACTAGAGCCAGCCTAAAATGGCAGTAATGGAATAGTCAATCAGGTAGTAGTCCCTTGATATTATGAAATACTATGCTATAGTAAAAAATGAACAGACCAGACGTTTATGTATAGATATGAAAAAATCCCCAACACAAGTTAAAAAGGTTATACAAGGTAGAATACTACATATAGTAGGATCTCATATATGTAGATAGACGGTAAAAGCATATGGAAATGAACATACATTTAGAATTTAGATACTTAGAGAAAAGACTGGAAAGATGCCTATTGGTTAACATTGGTTACGTGTTGAGGGGAGGGAATTACTAAGAAGGGACTTTAATTTTTTCTTCTAATTTCTTGAGCATTGCTTAAATCTAAATGCATTTTATTTAATATTTACATACTTTTAAAAATGAATAATTTAGAAACCAAAAAAATAAACTTCATATGTTACAAGCAGTGTACCTATATATACCAAGTGTTCTATTTACTTAACAGGCTGGTCGTCTGATGATAAGGAAGTTAGTTGCAGAGAAATTGAATATCCCTTGGAATAATATTCGTTTGCAAAGAACTGCAAAAGGAAAGCCAGTTCTTGCGAAAGACTCATTGAATCCTTACCCCAATTTCAACTTTAACATCTCTCATCAAGGGGACTATGCTGTACTTGCTGCTGAACCTGAGCTACAAGTTGGAGTCGATATAATGAAGACTAGTTTTCCAGGTAATACTGCATTTTTGTAGTACAAGAGTATCTTCTTGTCTCAGTTCTTAGCTATTGAGTAATCTCAGGCCAGGAGATGTATTCTAGATAAATTTAAGTATAGGAAAAATGTGCTCAACACTCAAAGGTAGTATATGTCAGCATATATTTGAAAAGTGTGTATTTCTTTGACTATTAACAGACTTCTACATAAAGGATAGGTTCTCCATTGCTAGGGAGTCATATAATGCATTGCCTAGAGCAGCAGTTCTCAACTTTCCTGATGCCGCGACCCCTTAATACAGTTCCTCATGTTGTGGTGACCCCCAACCATAATATTATTTTCGTTGCTACTCAATAACTGTAATTTTGCTACTGTTATGAATCGTAATGTAAATATCTTTTTGTTTTCTGATGGTCTTAGGAGACCCCTGTGAAAGGGTCGTTCAACCCCCAAAGGGGTCGTGACCCACAGGTTGAGAACCGCTGGCCTAGAGGCAAAGAGAAAATGTAAAGATTTTCTTTTTGAATTACATCTCAACTTGTTAAGTAAAACTAACTTTGAAACTAATTTTGAAGACTTAAGTTTTGTGGAGAACAGTTTTTCAATAGCTCATTTTATCTTCTATCTAAATAATAGATGTTAAATCGAATTGGACTCGAGTCAATTTTGAGTAACAGTCTATTCAAAAACAGTAATTATGTTGTAAGAACTTTGTTTCACTTGTATAAGAACTTTGTTTCACTTGAGTATCAAAATTCATCAATAAGCTTTGTTGTTTAAAAAAATCTCAGTGATAAAGTTATTGGTCTTAGGAAGAGATAACAAACGTGTTTGTGCAATATCTAAATACAGCTCTTTATAACACTTACATAAGTAAAAATTAAGAGCAAGTAATTATTAAAATATTTAAGTTGCTATATTTTGCTTAGAAATTTGTAACTGGTGGCTGTAGGAACTGCTAACATTTATTGTGGGGTTGAGTATGCCCAGGCAATTTCATTAGAACACAGGTTCTCTTAACTATAATTTTCATCTTCACTAACATTTAGTGAGCACTTACTGTGTGCCAAGGCATTTTACTAAGTGCTTTACACATATTCTTTAATCATCCAACCACCCTAAAATGAATATACTGTTATTTTTATGAAAAGATAAGTAACAGGCCAAAAAGAAAGCTGTTAATAAGAGAACCAACATCTTCTTAATATCATAGTGCAACTTCCTAATCTCCACAGTGCCTCAACCTCAGAATCTTTGCTTATGTTTCCCTTGGTCTGGAAGATTTGTATTAACTTTATCCCCCAACCCAATTTCTGCACAGATAACTTATTTACTGGTTACCTTTCAATCACTTTAGGGAAGCCTTTATGAAACCTCAATTGAAGCTAGGTTCTTTTGTTGTAGGCTCTAATAAAATATATTTTCTTCATTCCAATAACGTATCTCAGTTTATAATTATTTATCAGGATGGTTGTCTTTTCCCTGGTCCTTATAAGCCACGTGAGAGCTGGAACTATGTTCGTTAGCTACATCTGAGTTTGGTCACTAGCGCATCTCTTAGCACACCATACCTAGGTTGTAATGCTCAATTAATGTTTGTCAAATGAATACTCTGTGCTGCTGTAGTAAGGCTTCAGAGTATGGCTGTGAATTTCATCTCTCACTTTTGCTGTCAGTGTCTTTACCTTGAATTTTCCCACCAGCTACTTTTTCTGATCGGCTCATAAACCTTTCTATTCCAATTCTATTCTGTGCTCAGAAGGAGGCTCTGCTAGCGATAACGGGCTCTTGACCTAATTTCCTGGATAAGCATCAAGTCGGTTTTTTTTTTACCCTCTTGAAATTGTTTGCTGTATTTTGTGTGTAGCTGTGCATTTCTCTAAGGAGAGGATCTAGTTTTCAACAGGGTCATGAAGGGCTTATTCTGAAAGAACCTCTGCTGTGGAGGGTTCACAGTGAGCATGGGAATGAGCCCATAAGCTTTCATAGTTTTCTGCTGTTCTTAATGAACTTTTCCTAAAGTCAGAATTTATCAGAGCATTGCTCCTTAGAGTGGAGTCAGCATAATTATAAAGTAATGGTTGGCTCATCAGGTTGATATCTGGAAATTATGTCTGTGAGACAAATTTTATTACCATTTGCCTTGTTGAACAATGTTGGCTTTGATCAATCCTGGATAAATAAATAATTACTAATTTAAACTTTTAACAAATGATAGGAAGGTAACTGAGCATTAATTGAAGACTTAGTTATCTGTTAGTTGTATTTTAAGATATTTTCCCTTCAGTTTTTATTAATCTTATTTGACTAATGACAGAACCCAGTCTTTTTCCTATTTGGCCAGTTCATTGCCAAAAAGCTATAATACATTCAGTAAAATACAGGGCAAGAGATACTTTCCAGTTGTCACTAGTTTGTTATTATGTCACTAATTTCTGAAGTATGAATGGACACAGCATCTCTCATAGTGGGGATGGGAAGTAGACAATGCTTTACTTCACTGGAGATTCATTTGAATTGCTCTGCTTATCAGAATAAGTGAGGAAATTGAGCAAGAGACATTCCCAAGAGTTGCTAAATGACGGAGGATAAAACTTAGGACAGCAGCAAGGGAAGTATTGTACTTCGTACTGTACATTGTTATTCGAGTGTCAGTTCTCAAATGGAGTCAGTCTCTGGGGGCATCGTTAGTATTGTATATTGAAAAACTCAGTTCTGTTACTTCCATTTGGTCAGCAGGTAAACATGTAGGAATTTGTGGAATCTTTTCTTCTTGTCACATTAGCCATTCCTACTAGGTGCAAATCATTTCCCTCCCTCTCTCAGTTCTGTTGCTGCTGTCGCAGGGCAGGAAAGAATATAATAATGGATCTAGGAAGTTTTGGGTTTCTTCTTCCTAGCCTGATGGCCCACTATTAAGGAGATTATTGCAACCACCACTTTATTTTTTGCTTACTGGAGAAAGTAACCTTATACAAAAGTAACTGCTGCATAGTTGGCACTCAATAATATTTGTTTAATGAATGTCTAGAGAAGAGGGATTATAAGACATTGGGGACCCTAGTAAAAATAAACTGCCAATGTAGTATATTCCTAACCCTGGAGGGAAAGGTTTTTTGTAGGTCATTATAATTTACTATACCCAATTGGGAAATTTTGGTTATGTTTTTTTTTGTTTGTTTTGTTTTCTAATTTTATCTACCATTTATTTACCATTATTTATATATCATAAGTATAAAAGCACATAGTTTTATGAAATTTTCAGTTTTGTTCCATTGTTGATAAAATAAGGCAAGATAAGATAGATACAATATAAAAATTAAGATTTAAATTTGGGAAAAGACCAAAATATTTTTCTCCATGGTTTTACATTTTCAGCTTTACATTTTTATTATAACTTTGCCAGATGTTAATTGTCAGCACAAAAATGACTCAATATTTTGAGATTTAATACTAATTTATAGTTTTGAAATGACTGTATCATAGAACTATTTTCCTAGAACAACTGTTATATAAAGTAAGCATAGTAAGTGTAATTAGGTGGTGGTATTATATTATAGCTAGGAAGGTCATAGGGCCTATTTCTTGTCTCCTTCCACCATACCACCTCCTGCACTAATTTAAGTGGCTTTCTATTTGGTTCTCCGTTTTTACTTTTGTCCTCGCCCAGTTAATGCATTCTCTGTACAGAGCTGGAGTAGTCTTTAAACAAACCAACAGCAATTTTCCTAAAACTTGTAGGTAGGTTGTTTCTTGATAAAATCTAATCACTTTAACGTGACCCCTGTCGTCTTATTCTCATTTATCTCTCCATTTGCATTTTTAGCTCCTCTCTTTGCTCACTATTTTCTGTCTACACCTGTCTTTTATTACCATGAATGTAGCAAACTTTCTTGTTCAAGGTCATTGCAAAAAAGCTCATCCTTCTGCTGTTCTCCCCACCCTTTCCTTGAGTACCTGAGACTGGAAGGATGAGAAGTAGCCAGTATCTCCTTGGCAAGGACTTTCCTGACTACCTGATCTTTTCCTTCACGGCCCTTCTCATTTGTAACTATAATTTTGCTATTTGATTTTTATCAGTTCTCCCTCATTAGATAAGTTCAGGAACCATGTTTGTTTTGTTTTTGCCACAGTATACCTAGTACCTGTCAGTGTCTAGCACACAGCAGGTGCTCAATAAATTACTTATTAAATGTACAAATTGGTAGTTCTCAATTTCACTTAAAATACTAAATTTGTTGAAAAATGAAAAAAATGGGTACACAACCACGATGGACAACGGTATTCATATCAGATACTAGTTAGAATATAAACTGTTCTCATTAGTGGGTTAGGATTAAAAATATTTCTTCCCTTTAGTCTTCTTCCTTACTCTCCATTTATCTCCCTAGCCTTTTCTCTACTCCATTTCCATCCCCCTTAGATTCAATTTTCAGCTTTGTTGCTGCTGTTGCAGTCTATTCCAGTTTCATTTCTATCTCGCTGATCTACATTCTTCTACATCTGTATTTTGCAGGAAGTGCTTAGCTAAAGCATTTTCCCCCCAGCTTGGAGATTTAGAGCCTGTAGGTAGGTAGCTTAAATAAGTCACACTTCCCTTTAACTCCTTACTGAATAAACGAGGCCTTCACTGGCAGGGAGTGATCCTCCTTCCCAGTTACTGGATGGGTCTTTTCCACTGTGCATAGGATTTGAGTGGGGACACAATATATAGCTAGTATTTCTTGAACAGCTCCTATGTGTGTGACACTGTGTTAAATGTCTTATATGCATTATCTTATTTCATCCACTTATGCCTAGGACGTATACAGTTGACCCTTGAACAACACGGGCGTTAAGGGCACTTGACCCTCCCATGTAGTCGAAAATCCATGCATAACTTTTACCTCCCCCAAAACTTAACTACAGTCATCCTTTGATGTCTGCAGATCATTGGTTCCAGGACCCTTTGCAGATACCAAAATCTGCAGATGTCAAGTCCCTTATATAAAATGATGTACAACAACACTAACAGTCA